AGCAGCGGCAACAATCTATGGAGGAAAACTTATTTTACTATAATATTGGAGTACAAGATAATACAATATATACAATTTAATTGAAATTGAGATTAATAAATCAGACAAGATGAGAGAGAGAGAGTTCCCAGGACCGATTCAAACCTGAAAAGCTTGGAACAGCTAGGAAAGCACCCTCCAGCACCCACTGCAAGGCAGCAAGAGAGCGCCCCCCCCACCCGGAAGGGCCAGATCCCGTGACTTCTGTAATGTACAGGGATAGGTACTTGGAATTGGGGCAGTGACATTTTAATGCCCTGTACACTACATGATGTTTTGATGTGGAATACTGAAATCCAAAAACAAAACAAAACAAAACAAACAAAAACAAAAACATAGAACCATGACAACAAGATTATAATCTCTCTTTTATGTCTGTCCCGTCTGTTCTGTCTTTTTTAAATAGAAGAAACTGCAGTGCATCTAAGTAGACTTTGCACTATCTAAGAGAATACAGATGGTCTTTATTTGCTTCTTGATATTAAAAAAATTAAAAAAATAAAAAATCAAATCCCAGAAGACTCCAACCCACTTCTACTTTCACTAAGTAGTCTGTGAAACAAAATATATTTTTTCACATATTGACTCATGGGAAGTTCAAAAATAATTTCTTACAGTATTTTATTAATAAAATGTTTTGCTTATTATGATGATGATAAAAGCCCTAACATCATTTTGGTGTTGTGCAATAGTAATCTGATGTGATGGAATAATGCTAATAGAATGCAAAATTAATAACATGATGTGATGGACAGTCATATTTGTTCACGTTTTTTTGACAGGCCAGACAAAATAGCTAGTGTTTTGAAGGACGTAATTTCAAAACACATAGATTGCATATCTTCTCCTGAAACCTTAAGACATGATTAGAGTAATCAGCTTACTGTTTTGCACTTGCTGGAAGCTGTTTGCTGTTTCAGTGAAAATGTGCTGCCACGCATCTGACAGAATATAAGATGAGATTGCATTAGAGTGAGAACACTTATTTGTAGAGTTTTTGTAAGTTTGATATATCAACATAAGATGAAAAAAAAAAAAAAGAAAAAGGTATTCTCTTAAAATACGTATTGTTTCAGAATTATAACAAAAGAATTCTTATAAGGAGATATTTTAGAACTTCTCAGGCATGCAGCCAATCACCAAAATGGACATTTTTGTTTTTTTTTTTTCTTCCCAGAATGTCAGTACTATTTATGTCACCTTTGAATATATTTTCTTTTACTATGTGGGAAGAAATATTTCATAACTAATTAATCACTCATCACTCCACCAAATGAGTTAATAATAGCATCTGATAGTAATTTAGATGAATCATATTAATACACAAGGCATTTTAAAAAAATCATATAAAAATGGAGAAACAAAACATCATTACATTCATTATATCATGAGACAGTATAAAATGGAATATCAAATTATATCACTTTTCAGTACAGATGTTCCAGGCTCTTCCTTCAGTGCCACATAAATTCTACTGTGATTATATTTACAAAGTTTTAAATTCTATGATAATATTCTACCAGTAATGTTTTCCTAAGTCCTCAAAAATCTATACATTTAATATGAATCAGTATTGTACCATGGTGGGTGGTATTATCTAGCTAAAAATGCTCAATTCACTCAACAGAATATATTTCTATACTTCTAGATTGTCGAGGGTGAGTGAAATAGCTATTCTTGATCTTTTGTATGACACTTCCTTATTTTGATTTTTGTTTGACGTGAAGCACAGCCTCCAGGAAAACAACCAACCAATCAATTGCCTCCTCTTCTTCTCACCCCAAAAGCCCACACAAATAACAACCTCAGTTTTCTAAGAAATGTCCAATCATAACCATATGCTACAACATGAATATTTTGTTTCAGTATCAAGAAGTCATCTCTGGCAAGGACTTACCAATTTTTTTCTAGTTTAAATTAGATTTAATATAGCAGTATACCCAGTAACAAGTTCATCTATCAGAATGTAAATTAACATTTTTCTGTATTAAAATATCTCTGTCTTTTGCTTGTAATCTAGTGACCATGCTTGTATTCTTTCAAGTTTCCATAATTAACATAACTGCTTTTGTATTACAGCAAGTAATGTCTGTGTACCTGTGATGAGCTAAACCTCATGTTCTTCACTCAGGACCCCATAGTTATATTTTTATCATACATTCTGAATATATACGACATACTCCAAATATATCCTGTTTTATTTCCTAATATACTCTGACATTTGCTTGCTTTGCCTTAGATGTCAGTTTATGTGAATTTGCTTTGCCGAAGTTTATAGACGACCAAAGGCTATGTGATTGCTAACACAAGAGTAACAAACAAACAAACCAAAACAAACCAAAACATACAAAAAAACAAAACAAAACAAAAACCTTTGACAAGACAAAACAGAGCAAAATTACAACAAAACCGTGAAACGAACAAACAACAGCAACAAACCCTCAAAATTTGTGTTAATAAAACTTTTCTCTCTATAAGGTTTGTTAATTTGAACTACGTGCTTCATTAATGCTGTCACATGAGGTTTTTTTGGTATATGTAGAGCGCGGGCACAGCTAGCTATGTCTGCCCAGAACATATCATGAAAGGAATTGTTGTGTGCATAAAAGGCATCTTGTGTCTGTTAAGAGCTGAAATACAAGTTTTCTGTGTATCCCAAAAGCTATTTTTGTGCTT